GCATTGGCCATGGCTGAATTCATTCATGCTTTCAACTAATTTTTACTGGGTACCTACTCATAACCAGTCCTCCTTTTAGCTGTGTGTAGAGACACTTCTATGTCTCTACACACAGCCATCGACGAGGCTTTTCAAAAATGTTTAAATTTTTGTTGATACATAATTATTGTACATATTTATTGGACACGTGTGATATTTGGTACGTATCTTTATCTGACCCAGTATATATTTTACTAATTTAGTTGTTACTTGCCCATTTTCCTCACTAGAATATACGCTTTTTTTACTGCAGGGATTTTGATCTGGTTGGTAGTTTGCAGTTTTTACAGCAGAGATTTTGATCTGCAGTAAAAAAAAAAAAAAAAAGCTGATATTATATATATATATATGATATATATATATATATATGAGATATATATATATATATATATTTTTTTTTTTTTTTTTTTTTTTTTTGAGATGGAGTCTCGCTTTGTCTCCCAGGCTGGAGTGCAGTGGCCAGATCTCAGCTCACTGCAAGCTCCGCCTCCTGAGTTCAGGCCATTCTCCTGCCTCAGCCTCCCCAGTAGCTGGGACTACAGGCGCCCGCCACCTCACCTGGCTAGTTTTTTGTATTTTTTTTAGTAGAGACGAGGTTTCAACATGTTAGCCAGGATGGTCTCGATCTCCTGACCTTGTGATCCGCCCGTCTCAGCCTCCCAAAGTGCTGAGATTACAGGCGTTAAAATAGAGCTGAAAGGATTTAGCGATGCACTAGATGTGAGCTATGAGATAAAGAGAGGAATCAAGGATACTGCTAACATTTTTAGCCCGAGTAACCAGAAGGATAAAGCTACATTTACAGAAATAAGGAAAACTTCAAATAAAGGAGACCTGAGTATGGATGTAAGTTAGATCAGTCTGATTTGGGCCATATGAGTTTGAGATGCCCATTGGACACGGGGTTAGCAGTTTGAAGTTCTGAGAAGATGCTGGCCTGGAAATTGGAAAGTCACAAGTCTATGGTATTTAAAGCCATGAGACATGTGCAATCAATGCAGTCAGAAACAGAAGCCACATACTATAAAGTTCCTTTGACAGGTACTGGATAAATTCATACCCCTCCACCTTCCTCCTCAATGTGTCTGTCTCCATTTCCTAGTTGCTATGGTTCCTAATGCTTACATTCATTTCACCCTAATTTTAGTACATTAGGTGTCCTAGATTGTTCCCCTCGAAGCAATCTATCTCCTATAAACAAGATGAGGGCTGGGCACAGTAACTCACACCTGTAATCCCAGCACTTTGGGAGGCCGAGGTGGTCAGATCCCTTGAGCCTAGAAATTCAATACCAGCCTGGGCAACATAGTGAGACCCTGTCTCTACAAAAAATACAAAGCTTAACTGGGCATTGTATTGTGGCATGCACGTGTAATTCTAATTATTCGGGAGGCTGAGGTGGGAGGATCGCTTCAGCCAGGGAGGTGGAGATTATAGTGAGCCAAGATGTCACCACTGCCCTCCAGCCAGAGACATGGAGTAAGACCCTGTCTAAATAAACACACACAAACACACACACACACACACACACAGAGATCATAGTTCTGTTACCTGTAGATTGTATGTATAGTAGTGCCTAAGGTTCACAGAAGGTCCTTAATTAATGATATGAATAAATGACCCAAATAATTACATGTTTTCAAGATGTTAGTTGTTGATAAAGAGGGTGATTAGCAACTGTGTTTATGATGGTTAGCAGTGACAAGCATTTACTCAACCTAAAAACAAGAAGTGTCAAGGTTTCTAAGTCATGACTTCATTGCCATGCAGTACAGTGATTCTCAGCTTTGATTTCCTAAAGTGGAATTTCAGGAGGGCTGACTGTGGAGCCAGCCCACCTGAGTTTGAATCCAGACTTAACAGCTTCCTGTAGAAAGAAGCAATCGGCCATGGGTCTTCAGTGTCCCTACATGTTCTTGTGGGGTGTGACAAAAATGCAAGGCCATGACCACTGTTTACCCAGACCATTTCTCAGGGTTGTGTTTGCACTGAGAAACTGCAAAGGTTGAGATAAACTCTTCCCCCTGAAACAAAGAGCAGGCTTTCTTTGGTTTACTATAAAAGCAGTAAATTCCCCATGTGCAGGCATCCATGTAGACTCACTTGTGTTTCCCCTGTTGGACTTGGGGGGCTTGGGAAATTGGCACAAACTTGAAGCACTGGCTACTTCTTTTGCTATGTGCCCTTTGACCCAGCATCCAAGAAACAGTGACTAACTTATTAGTTTGTATGTAGGGTAAAACACCAGACCCCTCAGAGTTCCTGATACTTACTAGCTATATGATTTTGAGATACAGATGTGTCTTAACCTAAGTCTTGTTTTCCTCACTTGTGAAATGGTATATTAGTAGTTTCAACATCAAAGGTTCTTCCAAGAATTAAATAAAATTGTGTATATACAGTACTTAGTAAACAGTGCCTGGCACACAATAAGTACATAATAAATGTTGGCTAATTAGTAATGAACTATTTCTAAAATTTCCAAATGGCTAGTGATAATTATACCTTAATAATGTCTCCTACATAATTACTCATTTTATAAAGTAGGAGAAAAAATACTTTAAAAATAAAGCATATTAGCAAATACTTACACTAAATTATTTCTCACAGATGATATTATTATGCCCATTTTACACATAAAGAAATTAGCACAGAGAGGTTAAGTAATATTTTCAAGAACACAGAGCTAGTAAGCGGTATATCTGGGATCCAAATCCAGGCAGTCTGGATCCAGAACCCATGCCTTTAACCACTAAACTGTGCTGTATCTCAGTATAGCAGTCCATGGGGGGTTGGGGAGAGAACAGAAAAGGGGTCCTGGTGATTAAGAAAAAGTCTAGAAATTGATCTCCCTGCAGATGAAAAAGCTAAGGCCCAGGAATGCCTCATGGTAGGTTAGTGGTGGTCAGATCCAGAATTTAACTAACGATTTTGTCATCAGATACATTATCAGAGAATGTCTTTTATTCTTAAGTAAGAAACATGACTATTATTTAAAATAGAGTAGAAAATATTCAGCAGATTTTTTTTCACCCATCTAGAACAAGGAGCTAATTTTATTGGTTCCTAATACCCCTTCATATGTATATATTAATATGCTCTACTTGCATACATAAATATGTGTAAACTCTCACTGCAGCAAATATTAAACGTAAATAACAAAACACACATATTAAGGTGTGAAATGTAAAATGTGAAATTTCAACCCAGTTTGGAAAGCTACAGTTGGACAAGACTTTTCAAAATTGTTTTTTCATTATTGTTATTGTTCATTTGGCTGTTTTTAAGAGAGTAATATGTGCTTACTAGAAAAAAAATCTAACAGAACAGAAGGGGATAAAATAAGAAGTAAAAGTATTCCAGACATGCTAATTTTATTTCTCATTGTTAGGCAGTTTATCTTTCCAGGAATTGTCTATAAAGCTACAATTATATAATATATATACACTTAAAATTGTTTATGATCATATCTATGTCTTTTATAAACTATATTTCTGTTTATTTTTAAACTTTAACACTGTTTTACGACTTATAATATATGCTTAACATTTATTTTTACGCAAAATATGATTCTGCCACATTCTTTTCAACAACTTCACAGTAATTTGTTTGCAAGGCTAAGTCACATTGTAGTCAACTGTTGCTCACTGATGCACATTTAAGCTGTCTCTAGTTTTTTACTATTAAAAATTGCGCTGCAACAAACATCTTATACATCTATCTCTGTATATATGTGTAAGTTTGAAAATGAGTTCCTAGAATTAGAAGGGACAAGTCAAAGGGCATACAGATCTTAATTTTGTTAAATTCCATCACTGTTTTCTTTTACAGCCCCGAGAAGTTCCCCTTGACTGTTTCCTTACATCCTCAGATTGTTTTGAGTCCTAATAATTAAAATATCCCTTTGTTGTGTGTTGCACTTATATTTCCCATTGTATGTTTGATGTTGTTTGTTTTCTCTTACTATACAAATGTTTTAGATTGTTAGGTAGTGACATTTATCAATCTTTTTGCTTATGAGAGTTTCCAAATTTCCTGATATGCTTCGAAACACCTTCTCACAATGAAACATAAATACATAAATTCATCCATAAATACATGAGACAGATCTGTAAATACTGATAGAAAACAACTGGACACACAGTCTTAAGTGTAAAAGCCAATCACAGAATAGTATGCACAATGTTACAGGTGTACCTACCTATTTGCATATGTCTAAAGCACCTCTGGAAGGTGGCCTGGAGATGGGAAGAAATGGGTAGATGGTGGATTTTCACTCTTCATTCTTTTTACTATTCGTACTGTTTTTTATGTATTATCTATTCGAATGTAAATGTTTTAATCTTATTGTTTAAAAGAGCAACCTCTATCATGTTTGCATACAAAAAAAGTCTCCCTTTTCACCTACATTTCATTCCCTATCATTTAAAGCTTAATACATTTAGAATGTAGTATAATTAGTAAGGCAAGGATCCAGTATTGCTTTCTACCAAATAGGTCCGTTGAATTTTTAAGTTTGTTAAGAGGCAAAGACCACGGGTGGAGAGGAAGGAGTGAGAGTGCCAGGTGAGGAAAGTCTAAAATCCCTCGACTTAATAAGAGAATGGTTAACACGGAAGGCTGAGTTTCTAGTGCCAGGTTTGGGTTATACACACTTCTTCTATGCAATTACCGTGAAAAGCACTCGGGGTGTGAGGTGAGGTGTACCTCCTAGCTTGATGCTGCTGATTCAAGTCCCAAACCAGAGGGAAGGAGCCAGAAAAGGAGCCCAGAAAGATGGAATACTTCGCACGGTTTTTTAAGTAAAGGCGGAACATTCCCTACCCACCAGGCAGCCCCAGGAGCTCAGGCGGGAATCACTGCCCCGCACACAGAACTCAGAGTTCAGCGCGGCTGTTACCGGCTCTAGGCTGGGTCTAAGCGTCGGGCCAGGAAGCCGCAGTCAAAACTTGTCCTCCTACCTGTGTACGAAACGCAACTATTCTCGTCGAAGTGCTTTCCCAGGCTCCTAAGAAGCAGCTTCAATACTCGCCGCATTCTCAGTTACTGGTCGTATCCTAGCAACGACCCTGGCACCACCTCTTCCTGCCAGGGCCGGACAGGGGGGAAGGGGAGGAGCAAGAGGCGGGATGGGGTAGGAGCCAGAGGCGGGCAGGGGGCGGAGCCGGGAAGGAGGAGCGCGGCAGGACTGGGGGAGGAGCCAAAGGCGGGGGGCGGGGTCGGAAAGGAGGAGCGCCGCAGGAGAGAAGGGGAGGAGCCAGAGGCCGGAAGGCGGGGTCGTGAAGGAGAAGTGCAGCAGGAGAGAACGGGAGGAGCTAGAGGCGGAGGGGCGGTGTCGAGAAGGTGGAGCGCGGCAGGAAAGACGGGAAGGAGCCAGAGGTGGGCTGGGGTCCGGGGTCCGGAAGGAGGATCGCGGTAGGGAAGAAGAGGAGGAGCCAGAGGAGAGGGTGGGGGGCTGCACAGGAGGTACGCGACAGGGAAAAAGGGGAGGAGCCAGAGGCGAGGGGGCGGGGAGGAGGGAAGCGGCAGGGAGAAGGGGCGGGGCCAGAGGCGAGGGGGAGGGAAGGAGGGACCCGGCAGGGGGAAGGGGAGGAGCCAGAGGCGGAGGCTGTTACCAAGTGGTTACCTAGATCCAAAAGTGAATCAGGACAGTAACCTCTCTCCAAGATCTTTTACACTTGTGAAAGGGCACAGCTCTCTGAACCAAACACTAACAGCAATTTAATCTTACAGATATAAAAAATCAGAGTCAGAGAAATCATCAGTTTGAAGTCAGAGGCGGGAAACTGTCAGATGCCTACTTGGTTTTCTTAAATTAACAACTTGCCTCTCAGCTTCCTGGCAGCCAAAGAGAAATGGGAGACAGTAGCTATCAAATAATTCTCCTTATAAGAGAAGCAGAACTTTTGTTAATCACTAAATTAGTTAATAAACTAAATTTTGTCTATCAATGAATTCTTTTTCTTCCCCTTTTTTTAAGTGTATGCAGAGTCTTGCTCTGTCCCCCAGGCTGAAGTGCAGTCGTTCGATCTCGGCTCACTGCAACCTCCGCCTCCCGGGCTCCCGCGATTCTCCTGCCTCAGCCTCCTGAGTAGCTGAGATTACAGGCGCCCGCCACCAAGCCTGACTAATTTTGGTATTTTTAGTAGAGATGGGGTTTCACCATGTTGGCCTGGCTGATGTGGAACTCCTAGCCTCAAGCAATGTGAGCCACGGTGCCCAGCCTATCAATAAATACGAAAACTTTTAAAGAAGCACAGGATGGTATTGGAGGTCAGGTCAAGTATGTTCTTCTTAGAAATTTAGTAACAAACTATATATTACTATCTCGTAATAGCAGCTAACATTTATGAAGTATTAATTGTCATGAGGCATCGTACATAGATTTCTAATTTAATCCTTACGATTTTATTAGGGAGAAACTGCTATTAGATCCATTTTGTAAATGAGAAAACTAAGGCACACAAAGTTTAATGCAGGAACTAGGATTAAACCCAAGCAATCTAACTCCAGGTCCCAGATTTTTAATCACTATTACGGTAGTTTGATTTGATATTTTAAAAGGATTAATAAAATTAGTACAGGTTCATTCCCTTATTCATAAATGTTCATTGTCTTCATTTATTTCTTTATACTGTTCTGCTGAAATAGCACTCTCATCTCCCCAATAACTTTGTAATGTCCAATGCCATTTTTTTAGTCATCTCATTTTAAAATATATTTTACTAGAATAGTGAAATATATATTCTCAGATAAAATTGGCTTTAATAATGATCAGTAAAAGGAAATGCATTTTAATCATTTCCACACATTCATGAAAAGTAAAGGGGAAAAATGGGCATAGAGGTAACCACTAGAATTAGGCTTTCTTGGATGGGTAGACCAGGTGTGGAGGTGCGCAGATAAGATTTTACAAACACTCATACACTCCCATCTCCAAAATCATAATTCATCTTACATTCTGCTACTAATAAAAATTCCACTGGCTTTAAACATTCACTTTTCTGGGTCTCCTCTTTAAAATTTATCATTCACTGTTCTCAATGTTAGAGACAGTATGCAAACAGTAGGTTTAGGAATAGAGTCAGGAGATGGGGGAAGAAAAGCTGGTAGGAGAGAACTTAAGGGTCTCGCAGTGTTAAATGTGACTTGATATCCACTATTCATATTTTTTTGTAATTTGCTGTGAGGATGCCTTTATACAATTTAATCTTAAATAGGAACCTAACTTAATAGTTAGGCTTCCTTGGGTAGTCTGTGGAGCACGGAAAGGTTATTAGCATGTCAAAATCCTGTCTACGCACACAAACACACACATACACACAAATGTAGTTTGGTTACATAATAAATGTATATTCAAACTGAATGAAAACAACCAATAGAAAAAAGCTTCTCAATTCCCAAAGTGAAACAGTAATTTTACAATACCATTTTCCATTTTCCTTTTCATGATAAATCTATGCGTGTTCTCAGGATTTATTCCACCAAATGACTTTGTATTTCTCATGTCACATCTACCTTTATTCATCTCAGCATTTATTTATGTGATAAACATTTCTTTTGATGTGCTTTTACTTTACAAAGATGCCACCTAGTGGTATGATAAAATCAAGCATTTCAAAGTATTTCCCGTTGTTACTCAAGGTTAAAATGAATAATGAATATTTTAAATATTAAAATAATTTAGAAAACTAAGGACCTGAAAATTTTTGTTTTGGAAATTATGTATATTAAATTTGGATCATAATATCACTTTCTGAACTTAAGAGAATGGAAATACAGGTCCATAGTCCCTTTTCTGAAACCTTTTGGGACAGATGTGTTTGATACTCAGAATTTCTCCGATTTTTGAAAGGAAATATGGGCATATACTTTACATTATGTAAAACATTCAGAGGGTCTGGGGAAGCAGTTTATAATCAAATATATTGATATATCTATGGCAAAATATATTCATATTCACATTAAAGTCGGATAAATACCACAAATAGCCTCATATAATTCAGGTGGAGTTTGTTGCCAAATTGAGTTATGAAAAAACTTTGTTTTCAGAAATTTTTGAAACTAGGAATTTAGATAAGGGATTGTGGATCTGTTTTACTCTTTTGAAAAAGAATTCACCCTCCAGTTATAGAGAGATTAAAATGCCAATATTTTGTAAAAAATAAATAAATAAATAATAGCAATAGTTATCTTTAGAAAAGCTAATAGATTCACCTAAAAAAAAAAACTTGAGGATCATGAGAAATACCAAAATAAAAATATTTGTAATGCTTTTCATTTAATTATATACAGAAGCCAATCATAAATTACATTTAAGTGTACCACAAAAAATTAGCTGCTAATATAAACCTAAAGGTCAATTTGAAAATTATTAGTGATGCATGGCAAGTTCAATTCATACATTTTGTGGCGCAGTCAAAAAAAAATTTAACCTTGGTTGTTTTTTTTGTTGTTGTTCCTATGTGTAATATACCATGTTGCAATTCCCCAGCAACACTATGTTCATGGAAATATGGGTTGATGGTGCCACGCTCAGCCTGGATTCCTTGTATGTCTATGAGCATTCCTTGCGAACCCTCCATAGACATGCAGTATGAATAAAAAATACACTTATGTTAAGACACTGGGATTTAAGGATAACCCATGCTAAATCACTACATTACTATTTTACTTCACTATCTAGAATACTGGCTCAACTCTAGTCTCTCAAATGAATTATTCCTGTCCCCATCAATCATTCAAACCCCTTATCACAGTCCCACTGTGATTTCCTGTGAATTTTGTCTAAAATAAAACGTCAACCTCCTCTAAACCCAACTGGTAGCCTTTCATTTACTTTTCTCTAAAATAATTGGCATTACTATTGTTGTTGCATAGGCTGCAATCTCACTGAACACTTAGTTTTTGTTTTTTTGTTTTTGTTTTTAGTAGAGATGGGGTTTTGCCATATTGGCCAGGCTGGTCTCGAACTTTTTACCTCAAGTGATCCGCCCACCTCGGCCTCCCAAAGTGCTGGGATTACAGGCTTGAGCCACCTCGCTTCCCCGCTAAACACTTAGTTTTAATGGGAAGGCAGCACTCAGCAAATCCAAAATACTCGTGATATGTTCAGCAATTTGGTACTTAATCCTATACCCCACAACACACTTGCGTAGGGTGTTAACTTCTGTTTGTTTACACAATCATAAGAGGATGGGAGGAAAAAGAAAAAGCTGCTATTAGCCTACATGTGGGAATTTTCCTATATATTGTTATCTTCCTTTTAAAAAAGATACATTCATAAACATTGTTACTGGCTTAATTAGCTTCGCTCCTCTGACTGGGATTGGAAAATTGACAATAAAATATAAGCTCCCTTTTTTTCCATCCCCCAAGTCTGAGGGAAAGGCATGGGGAGGGGAGAATGAGAAAGAGTGAAAGGACACAATAAAACCTGAGGCCTGATTGCACATGATGACTGCTACTGCTGGCATCAGTTCATTCTATTCCAATGACAGACTACTTGATCCTACTGGTGTGGGAAAGATGGCAACCTTGAGACCTGAGCCTTACTCCAGTAGAGTGTGCCCCCTATATACTGTTTGCCCAGGACAGTCATGGTGTACAGCTGTTATCCTTATGTAGTTATTTTCACTCAAAATCATTCCAGGTGTAAGATTATCCTATAGTTATCCTAAATATAAGCCATTTTCATCCCAAAGGAAAGCATGCCAAGAAACTGGAATTGTCTGCACTAAGTCCCAGTGTGGGAGAACGAGGGCATCAACTTTGTTGCCGTTTCTTCTTTCTTAGCAAAGCTCAGATTGATTAGTTTCTCTTTCTTTTGAAGTATCTGGAGTATGGTGATTAACTAGAATGAAACCCATAGGAGAACTGAAATAGGCCATTCTGAAAATTATTCAAATTAGTTTGGCCACTCAAAACACTGAAGATCTTTGAATAAAAGAATCATTTGCAAAGTGAGCAGGAGACTTAACCTGGATGTTTATAGGAAGCAACTGGGAAAAGACTGAAGGAGTAAAAATGATCAGGTGTAAAGTTGTGTGAGCAACTGAGACAGGAGAAAGAATTAAGAACCAAATTGCAATACCTTTTAGATACCTATCCCATTAACATAATCTGCCTATAACCAATATGCAGCTCTTTGCAGAAAATGAAATCCAGTTTACTACTTCTGCTCATATTTGTTCTTTACAGATATTTTGACAGAAAAAGTCAAGCAGCAGGATCTAGGTTCGCTTGGTACAGCCCATACAGCACAGGAAGGAGTCACAATATCCCAAGCATATTCATAAATAATAATATAACAGGAGCAATCAGTTCTAGAACCAGACTGCCTGGGTTCAAACTTTAGCTTCCCATCTTACTAGCTATGTGACCTTGGATTTGTTATTAATCATCTCTTGGTTTCAGTGTTCCCAGGGCCCCAAGTTGCATAATTGCAGGGGAAAACTACTCATGTAGGGTTCTGGTTTCTTATCTGGAAAATGAAGATAATTTGCAATATCACTCTTAGGGTTGCAGTGCAGGTTAATGAGTGAAATTAGTCAGGTACTTATGATAGTGTCTGACATTCATATTAAAGTCTCAATAAACATTAGCTATTATTGTTATAATATTATTTTTACAATGACTATTATTCTACAATTAGCATTTCTAATGCAAACACCAGGAAGGTCCCCTTTTAGCAAAAAAGTTCAGTAACACTGTTGGTGGCATAAAAGATGCCCAAGAATCATGGCAGAAATAGGACTGAAAGTATGACAAAAACACAACAAGCCATCTTTGTTCCAAAGGACCTGAAAAAAAAAAATGGTTGGCTAGAAAATTACCTTGAAAGTACCCAGGCAAACACATTTTTAGGATCATGTTTTAATAAATATATTATATATTCAAGAAATGTTTAGAACTGAAAATGTTGTTATAAATCATATTCTACTTCTTTTACAGCATTAGAAATAGGCCATTCTAAGAACAGGCCAAACTTGCCTCAATGTACTCATTAACAATACTAGAATCATGAGAATGAGAAACCTTCTAACTCCCCCTCTAACACTTCCCCACAAGAAGGAGACTTCTTGCACTCTAACCTCTAAGAATCCATCTTATTTAATATTTATTTAGTATTCATGTTACAGCTCTATGAGGGGAGAAATATACTGGAAAGAAGGAAAAATACCATTTTTTTCTCATTCTGAGCAAATGTGCACGTGTGCGCGCGCACACACACACGTATACACAAAACCCCACAAGAGTATAATATTATCTATGAAGGAAAGAGATACCAAGTTAAATTTAACCAAGTATTTAGAAATGACAGGGAGCTAGGAAGAAAAGGCGAAAACACATGTAATTTTATTTTTAACCTTAAGCTTGCCAACTTCTTTCCCTGAACAGCATTTGTCTTGTTTTGATACCCACCTACAGTTATATTAGAAACATACTGCAAACTATTTAGTGATTCCACTTTGAATTTAGTCACATGACTAAGATGTTTTGAATATAAGCCTATCCGTATGCCAGATACAAATTTCAGGAACTCTTAATGTCTCTTCTTTTACAGAAACTCTACCTCTATCCTGATGTAATTAGGTTGATTAAGAAAATTAAAGGCCACGGGCCAGAAAACTAACTTCCACAAATGCAACAAAAGAAAAAGTTTCTCCAATAACCTCTGTGAAATGGGAAATCTTTCTTTTAAGTACTAAGTCAATTTCTTCAACTGTACAATGTATTTGAATTTGATGGTTTTCAAATATAACATAGTAACAACAAAATATAATAAAGACTATAAGAAAACAGAGTAAATGATATAATTCAAAAAATAATGACTAAAATAAAATGACATTATGGATTTTGTAATCCAACATATAATTATATATTTAAGTTTTATTTTACATACATAAGATCACAGCTAAGGAGGTTAACCATAATTTCAAATTTTATCACCAGTCACTTGTGCCATTTTATCACATTTGAAAATACTCACTCGTATTATTTACTTCAAACAGTGATCTATAAATTTGTTTAGACTATATTAAGGACCTTTTCTTCTTCAGGATAACTTAAAAAAATTAAATGACGTATTGAACAGACTACTGAAGAAACTTTACTTTTTAATTATAGTCTCTGCATTGAAGATCTGTAGGAATTTTTCTTTAATAATTTTCAAATCTTCCCATGACCTCTCTGTTCATAGAAATATCATCTTTGAAATAATTTGTGTGAATACTTTATAAATCAAAAATGGATTCACATGACCATATTACCATAATCACCAATTTTAACAGTCTCCTAGATATTTTCTATATCACTTTTCTCGATTATAAAATGTCAGTAAGATGAAAACACTCTTAATATAACAGTATATTTAATTACATCAGTTTCCCATCAACACATCAAAGTCACTTAATAATTATATTGGCCATTTCCACTGATCGGCAGGAGGCTCTTCCACTAATGGCTCCCATGGTTTCCAGTCCCTCATTTTTCTTGCCAGACTTAGTTCATGTTCAGCCTGTGAATACAAATTTTTTAAAAGATCATTGGATTTTACTCTTCAGCAGATATTTATGAGAACTAACAACTGATATTTAACTACTGGATACTACTTTCATTTAATATCTCATAATCTATTCTACCATCAAATGTTGAATATTAAGTAATTAAATTACCTTAATTCTCACAGCTACACAATCAGAAGAAAGAATATCTTTTGATGTCTTCTATTTGATTGAAATTGGCTACAATGTTTAAAAGTTTAGTTGGTGAGGTTTTTTATCTTAGTAATATTTCACAAGTTTTTTGAGAATCAGAAGTATGTCTTTACATCTATGTCAGTGACTTTCAAACTTTATTTTACCATGGCCCAAAGTAAGAAAATATGTTTTATTGTAGGTTCCACAATATAAACATATAACTAAAATTTTTAAATCATTATCTTTACTAGCAGTGATACGTTCTTTTTTCTATTGTGTTTTTTTAATGCTAATCACTATCTAACTGATTCCATCACCCATAGTCACTTGAGACCCAGAATTTATAAAACAGTGATCTGTGGAATGTAGAACACAATAAGTGTATAAAAAATATTTACTAACTGAATAAATTCCTTAATTATGTTTCATTTAATTTTTCCTTTCAAACACAACTTATATTTAACAAATGCATTTTAGGTAGCTTTTAATTTCATATTTTTTCTACAACAAAAAAATATTTATGACAACTCCAGCCAACCTGCAAGATGAATATTATTAAACACCTGTCAGGATGTTACAAAAGAAATTCAAACACAGAATAAGTGCTTGGATTATATTAAAGGTAATTATTATTATACAGTTAAAAGATAATACCCCATTTGTGCCAGCGGTCCCAAAAGTCAATCTATGTTTACAAGCAACTGTAAAAAAACAATGAGTTAAAGAGCAGATGAATGGAAATCAGGGGTAGAGGTATTACTAATGCCAAAAGGAGAAAATAATTTAAATACTGATGAAATATTTCCTAAGGTTGCCCTGAGTCTCTTGAACATCCAGTGCTTTCTCAATCTCCCCCAGGCATTATATATAGGGCATGAGGAGGGCACCCAGCCCTCATTCATCCTCGAGAATCAGCCCTATCTCAGGAACCTGAATCCAGCTGCACCTGGCCCCTGATGCCTATTTCCTCCTTCTTCTCTGGCTTCTGACACACTGTCATACCACCCATCTAGAAATGAGACTGTCTAATATGTTAGTCACTACCCATACATAGCTATTGGGGATTTGAAATGCAGCTAGGCCAAATTCAGATGTGCTGCAAAGAGTAAAATGCATACCAGAGTTTGATGACTTCATATAAAAAAGAATGTAAAATATCTCAATATTTTTATGATATGTTTAAATAATATACTACATATACTGAGTTAAAAAAAAATTACTAAAACTAAATTACCCTTAATACTGACCATGAAAACATGGGGAACTGCACCGCTGACTTAAAAATACTTAATATGCCTTAAACTCAATTCCATGAAAAATTAATATCTCAACTAGATAAAGTCATGATCAAAGTGAAATCAGGTGGTACAGAAAAGAGAAATAGGTATAGGACAACAGTATAAGGTTTGCGGCAAGTTCCTATAACACTGTATCTAGTACCATAGCCTACCTGACGAATATAAAGGCCAGGAAAATAGGCCTTTGAATAACTGAAAGTCTACATTCACAGAAAGCTGTCTGAATGCTATACTCCTCTTTTTCCAGGGCCATCTAACAATTCTTTTGATTTGGTATATCATGTCTGTTGGTGATATACCTCCCTAATCTCCAATAGTACCCAATATTTCCTTTTATCTGTCCTTCAATCAACAGTAAGAAAACATTAGAAAGGGTTACATTTGAAAAAAGATACAAGAAAATAAAAATTAAATAAAACAGCATTGAGTATTTATCAGATGCTTATAAGACAAAGACATTCTAAACCTATAATATGGGGGTTGCAGGGGTGTGGAACAACAAAATTTCACCAAATAAAAAAAAATCTGAGCTGGGAAAGGTGGCCACGTCTATAATCCCAGCACTTTGGGAGGCCAAGGCGGGCAGATCACCTGAGGTCGGGAGTTCGAGACCAGCCTGACCAACATGGAGAAACCCCGTCTCTACTAAAAATACAAAATTAGCTGGGCATGGTGGCACATGCCTGTAATCCCAGCCACTCAGGAGGCTGAGGCAGGAGAATTGCTTGAACTCAGGAAGCGGAGGTTGCAGTGAGCCAAGATCGTGCCACTGCACTTCAGACTGGGCAACAAGAGCAAAACTCCGTCTCAAACAAACAAACAAAAAAATTGAAAACCTATACATGTGAGGGAAAAAAACCCATTTGAGAGGCATAAGCAGGCTAAAAAAAGTACGTGCAGACAATGTCACAAAAGTTTAAGGTTAATATCTTTTATTATAAAAAGACACTCATATGGATAAATGACACAAAGACTAAATGACAGAGTAAAAATATTAATGATATAATTTATAAAATCTAAGAACATATTTTTAAAGCTTAACCTTACTAGCAACTGGAGAAAAAAGACGCAAAACTTAAAAAAAAAAAAAAAAAAAAGAGGCATCATTCTTTTCCCATAGATGCTTTAAAAAACTAACTATGGAATATTCAAAATAGTATATTTCCACCCTATTTACATCAGTAACCTATCTATTTCTATAACCTACCTATGACCAAAGGAAAAGAATTAAAATTCAGATTAAACAAAACTAAACTGTAGTGTTTATTCTCTTGTCTAAGTAGCAGGTATAGTGAGAGGAGAAGAAAATTTCCCAATAGAATAAGATTTAAAATAGTCTAAATGTAATTAATAATGTTAATAACTTTTCTAATCTCAATCTCTTCCTAATCATGCTTACATTTTACTACTCAATATTATATGTCAGGGTTAGTATTTGGGAAGTAATGCAGAATTAAGCTCTCAAATATACTATGCAATTGTTTTTTAACTTGCTCAAATGCTCAAGAACCAAAAATAAAAACAAAAGTATATTTTAATTTTATAATTCAAAATGTCTGTATTTTTCCCTACTAAAAATATGCCACACTCTTAAAATAAGATACAACTATTAAAACAACAGTAATACTGCGTTACCAATTTAAACTAAGGTTAGGCCAAGGAGAACATGCTGATTAAATTAAAAGAGTGTCAAACTCCAGGCTTCTAACAGAAGTCTCACAAATTCATGCTATAATCAACAATAAATACTATAATCAACATATACATGAGAAGCACCACATTTTCTATATGTGATTAGTCTTACATATTTGATGAGTTGATATAAATAAGGAAATTTAGTTTTCCTTTCATTCTGGAATGTCAGTTGTGTGTCTCTATGAAACCAAACACCTAAATAGTCAACTTTTTCTTTACCTGAAGAATCACCTCTTCTAATTGACCACCTTGAAGTTGGTCTTCTAATTTTTTAACATCTGGTTCCTATAATTTCAGGGAGAAAAAAAAAATTAAAGAAGCATACTCTCTGAAAGTTTCAATATCCCGTATTTTAAAATTCCTATATAAAAACACTTAAAAATACAACTTTTCATGCATCATACTCTTTTTACTAAATATTTGGTGAAAATTCATTTCACCTCTGCTATTTTATTGCTTTTCTGTCTTAATATTGAAAAGTGCTAAATGTTTATTGACAAGCTGATCAAGGGACAGAAATACAATGTCAAATTCTGTCTTCCTAAAACTGATTTTAAAATATGACTTTGCTTTCTTAGTATTTCCTATATTTCCTGAGAGCGTTAGAATTAAAAATAAATGCTACCCTATGACCCAGAAATTACACTCCTAGGCATAACGCCAAACAGAAATGCGTAATATATATACACACACACATATGTGTCTGTATATGCGTATATATATACACATATACACATATGTGTATGTGTGTGTGTGTGTGTATATATGTTTTATTTTTATTTTTTAATTTTATTTTTATTTAATTTTTTTTTTTTTTTTTGAGATGAGTCTCGCCCTGTCCAGGCTGGAGTGCTGTGGCACAATCTCTGCTCACTGCAAGCTCTGCCTCCCAGATTCAAGCCATTCTCCTGCCTCAGCGTCCCAAGTAGCTGGGACTACAGGCGCCCGCCACCACGCTCAGCTAATTTTTTTCCATTTTTAGTAGAGATGAGGTTTCACTGTGTTAGCCAGGATGGTCTTGATCTCCTGACCTCGTGATCCACCCACCTCAGCCTCCCAAGGTGCTGGGATTACAGGCGTGAGCCACCCTGCCTGGCCGCATAATATATTTTTTAAAAAACATGTTTGAGAATATTCACAGCAGCACAAATTACAGCCCCAAACTAGAAATAACCCAAATGACCATCTGTAATAGAATGGATCAATTAATTATAATATTTGGATATAATACTTCACAGCAATGAAAATGAATAAACTGTATGCAATAATATAGATGATTCTCTTAACCACAGTATTAAGCAAAAGCCAGAGTATAGTACGTACAAGACAGTACATGCTAATGATTTCACTTATATAAAATTCAAAAACAGGCAAAAAGAAGTCCAAATAGAGATTAGCTTTACAAGTAGTAAATTGAAGGGGAAGAGGCAAGGGTTTGGTTATTCTGGAAAAGTCCTTTTTTTCTACACATTTGTAATGTATATAATTCTTGAATAAAAGTTTTTAAAAACAAAATGTTAATATAGTACCTCGAACATTCAACGACATTTAGTTATTTTCTAGTAAACTGAGCTTTTTGAGCCAGAAATCTGTAAATATACCCACATACGTAAATAAGGCTTTGTCATTTCAGGGTGTTTTTCTGGCCAATAAATGGAATAAAGAGGGACAAAATAAGACATTTTGTTTTTCAACACAAGACTTGATGTGTTACTGCCTCAGAGTATCTGCTGGATGGCCCAGGGTATCTGCATCACTTGTTCCTTCACCACCTTTCAAATCTTTGCTCAAATAACACCTTCTTATTGATAACTACTGATAATTTACATTGTGACAGGCTGAATAACACCACAAAAGATATACATGTATTAACTTCTAGAAACTGTGACTGTTACTTTATACAGCAAAGACTTCACATATATGATCAAGTTAAGGATGCTGACATAGGGAGATTTTCCTGAATTATCCATATAGTCCCTAACTGCAATTATAAGTGTCCTTATAAGAGAGAGGGAGGGATATTACACACAGAAAAGGAAAAGGTAATGTAACCACAAAGGCAGAAACTGCAGTGATGAGACCACAAGCCAATGAATGCCAAAAGCACCAGAAGCTGAAAGAGGCAAGAACAGATTCTACCCCATATTCTCCAAAGCAAGCACAGCCCTGACACCACCACCTTGATTTGGGTCCCTGATGTTGATTTCCAACTTCTTGCCTCCAGAAATCTAATAAAATAAACTTATATTGTTTTAAGCCACAAAGTTTGTGGGAATATTACAGCAGCCATAGTGAAGTAATACACAGTGTAACATCCCCCATCCCCACAATGGTACACATTTTCCTTGTTTTATTTTCCTTCACTATACTTACTATTTTCTAACACACTATGTACTTCTTTACTCACTTTTTACTTTTTTTTTCTTTTGGTCTCCCATCACTAACACGTAATCTCCAAGAAGGCAAGGATTTTTAATCTGTTTTGTGCCAACTAAGCACAAGTTTCCATGCTAGAACCACACATGGCATGTAGCAGTCATTCAATAAATGTTTCTTGGTGAAAGAAGTGAATACAAAAAAAACAGTGGAAAAGGGGGGAAAAGGGGGAAAAAGTAATGAGCATGTTTGAGACAGATTATTTACAGGGAGTTAACTCATATATGAGACCAAAAATCGAAACCAAAACAGGGAAGCTGGTCACTGTTTTAAGAGACTCGGGAGAGTGAAGGTAAAGAAGGCAAGGAATGTTCAACAACACTTTCAGTTCAGAAAAAGCCAGTGTTAGGTGAACAATTCAAAATTTGTCTTACTGATAGTGAATACTGTGATTTTTAGTCACCAATGGCATAATACCATTAAACTTGATAAGGTACCATGTACTGAATGCTCACTATATACTTGGGACTATGTTAAGCTTTTACATACATTACCTCATTCAGTTCTAACAAAAAGTGTTCAAGGTGGGTATTATTATACCCAAGTTATAAATGATGAAATTGAGACAGAGAACATTAGCAATATGCCAAGTCACTCCACAAATAAGTATTAGAACTAAGATGAAAATCTTGGACAGGGACACAAACCAATGCTTTTCACCAAAATATTACTATCTCCCTAGTAATAATCTGAAAAAAGAAAAAAGTTACTTTTATTTCTACTTTAGGCTTAGTAAATAGATATTGTATAATCATGGCAATATTCACTGAAGATTTTGTGTGTGGCTCTATGCAGGATTAAAAATCTGTGACAATTTTACCAAAAACAGGAATCAGAGATACAACTGTTAAGTGTTTGGGGTTACATCTAGCCTTTTGGATAAAGAAACATTTCTAAGGAACCTTGTGTTTCAGGTACTATGCTAGAGTCTAAGGATACAAAGTTGAATCCAATATCATTAACAAGTAGCTTATGGCTGGTGGAGACATAATACAGTTATGACCAGTAAAACGGAAAGGAGGTAACGAAGTTGTCAAACTCTACTTAAGAAAGTAAGAAAAGGTTTCACAGAAGAAGTGATGATTTATAAAGAAAAAGTAAGAACTATCAGACAAGGTAAAGGCATTCCAGGAAATGAGAAAATATAAATGAACACAAAAATAAAAATGCAAGGAATCCACAGAACTGCCAGCAGTTTGGTATTGCTTAAGAATAGAGTATAAAACAAGAAGCAACAGCATATGATTGAGAAAATAACCAAGAGCCAGAACTTAGAAGGTCTTCTATACCATGTTAAGGACTTTACCCTGTTAGGCCAATGGTTCCCAAACATGGCCATACATCAAAATCATGCAGATAAAGGTAGCTAAGTAAGTTTCATACAACCAGTTCAACATATATCCTTAAACTCAGCCTTTGAGAAACACTGAACAGAAAACCACAGTAAGATGTTAAGCAAGACAGTACAGTTGGCCCTCAGGATCCATATCTGTGGATTCAACTGAGAATGGATTCAACCAACCACAGATGGAAAACATTAAAAAAAACACACACACAATAAAAATAACAATACAGCAATTTTTAAAATACAGTATAACTATTTACATAGCATTACATTGTAGTAGGTATTATAAGTAAACTAGAGATGATGTAAAGTATACAAGAGGATGTGAACAGGTTATATGCAAATACTATGCCATTTTATATAAGGGACTTGAGCATCCTTGTATTTTGGCATCCATGGGAATCCTGGAACCAATCTTTCATGGATACCAAGGGACAACTGTACCATCACAAGATTTACATATTGAAAAAAAAAATCACTCTATTATTGGCTATATGGTAGAGCATGTAATGAAGTATAATGGAAGTACAAACAGATCAATTAGTTATAAAGCGGTTTAAATAGCAGAGAAAAGGATTTTAGAACCAGTAAGTAAAGAAGTATGAGAGTAAACCCTTCTTTGGTTGAAACTGGCTATGGGAGAAAACAGAAAAATAGGGCAATAAGTAAAGAAAAATATAAGCATATAGGTTTTTTTTATTTTAAGATAGGAACAAGCTAAAAATATTTGAGGCTATTTGAAAGATGATGATAAAATGGGAGAGGCACCGGGTGCAGGTGGCTCATACCTATGATCCCAGCACTTTGGAAGGTCAAGGCAGGAAGGTCACTTGACCTTCCAAAGAGTTTGACATCAGCTAGGGCAACACAGTGAAACTCCACCTCTACAAAAAATTTTTAAAATTAGCTGGGCATGATGGTGAAGGCCTGTGGTCCCAGCTACTTGGGAGGCTGAGGTAGGAGGATTGCTTGAGACTGGCAGGTCAAGGCTATAGTGAGCTGTGATCGTGCCACTGCACTCTAGACTGGGTAACAGAGTGAGACCCATCATATAATACAATACAAAAAACAATATAAAACAAACCACATGTTTTGTTGCATACCTAACAAAAGATAGGAATTCTCTTTGAACTATATAGTCTGGTAATCTAATAAGAAGAAATATGTGTGCCTAGGATCACTTATGCATGTATATAAATTTCCTTCAGAGTTTTTAAGCACTATTTTAGATAATTACATAGAGTCCATTTAATGATTGCTAGTGTGAAAATTTAACAATAGTGCAATACAGTTTGGTATGAATCAGCAGTCTAGACTTTTATTAACTGCTATTTAATAGCAGTTAATAAGTATCCATGAAAGATTGGTTCCAGGATTCCTATAGATGCCAAAATACAAGGATGCTCAAGTCCCTTATATAAAATGGCATAGTATTTGCATATAACCTGTTCACATCCTCTTGTATACTTTAACTGCTAATAGCAGTCTAGTCTTTTTGATAGGTTTCCTTGGGAAAAAAAAATGCCCTTTTTTTGTTTTTCTTTTATTGTTCTCTAAGATTAGAAAAACGAGATCAAGACTGATATATCCATAGACAAAAAGCAAAAGATCAATAAAGGACTAAATAGGGAAGAGAGGTAAAAGGAACAGCTACAATGTTACTTCAAGGAAGGATCTGATCCTACTCTCAAACTCCAGTATATAACAGAGCCCTGCATATAGAAAACACTCAATAAACAAGAGTTTGCCGAATAAAAGGGAGGAATGGGAAAAGAGCACTGAAGGAAGGAGAATAGAAGAAAAATGTGTAGGATATATAAAAAATAAGGAACTAAACTTTTCGGTTAAATGATACCACAAATCCAAGAAAACAAAACTGATTTAGCTACTTACCGCTTTAACCATAGCCAGCTTCTCATTTGTAATCTGTTCTGTATACTTTCTATATGCTGCATTTTTAGGGATTTCCGCAAGAACATCAAGAATCTTTGTGTACAATATACTTAGCCTCTGAAAAGACAAACCATACAAATTTCCATAGGTTAAAATATTACCAAAGACTTTTGTAAGTCTTTAAAAAGTCTTTGTAAGACTTTAAAAAGTCTCATAGACAAAACAAACAAAACTCACATCTGTTTTTTTTTTTTTTTTAATTCTTCTTTGCTGTGACTTCTTTATGTCTGTGCCCTATCTACACCCTTTACAACCTAGGAAAAACCTGTATATAATTGTGGGAACATTCTGTATTTTCTATGTATGACAAGTTCTAGATAAGTGAAAGGTATGATAACAAGTTGAAACAAAACTAACTAATGACCTTTTTGGAAATCAAATCATTTACCAAATCTGTATTTTTCTTCCTTCCTTTCTTTCTTTTTTTTTTGAGATGAAGTTTCACTCGTTGTACAATGGCATGATGTCAGCTCATTGCAACCTCCATTTCCCGGGTTCAAGCAATTCTCCTGCCTCTGCCTCCAAAGTAGCTGGGATTACAGGTGGCCGCCACCACACTTGGCTAATTTTTGTATTTTTAGTAGAGTTGGGGTTCTGCCATGTTGACCAGGCTAATCAGAAACAAAACTAACTTATTGCTAATGACCTTTTTGGAAATCAAGTCATTTACTAAATCAGTAGTTTTCTTTCTTTCCTTTTTTTTCCCCCCCCGAGACAGAGTTTCGCTCTTATAGACCAGGCTGGAGTACAATGGCGTGATCTCGGCTCACTACAACCTCCACCTCCTGGGGCAAGTGATTCTCCTGCCTCTGCCTCCCAAGTAGCTGGATTACAGGTGCCTGCCACGACGCCTGACTACTTTTTGTATTTTTAGGAGAGACAGGGTTTTGCCATGTTGGCCAGGATGGTCTCAAACTCCTGACCTCAGGTGATGTGCCCACCTCGGCCTCCCAAAGTGCGGGGATTAAAGGCATGAGCCCACCTAGCCTGAATCAGTATTTTTCAAAGTGAAGTCCTAAGCCCTGCAAATTCTTTTTTCTTTTTTTTCAATGTTTCTTATTTGAATTTCTGTAGAAATAAACACATATAAGCATTACATCTGTATGATCAAATTTAACTAAATATAGTCATAATACTTCAGTGTTCTCGCTTCTGATTATGAATGAGTTATGACATAAAGTCTGCATAAAAGGCTCAACAGAAAAAGCAGCAAGAGAACTGAGTCAATGCATAGCATGTATTGAAGCATACTGAACTTAAACTTCAGTATAGAAATCACTTAGTAAGAAGTTGATCCTCTCCAATTTAAATATATAATGCATATATTAGTTTTTAATACAGCATTTTAATTAAGTTTTAATCTGATCTAAAATGCAGGTTTAAAATTTTCATCTTTCATGACAAAAATATATCAGTTTCTAGAGAAATGCAGATGAAAATGGGATGATTAATATAGAAGAAAAGAAAAAAATGTTATGAATAGTATGGAAATTTAATTTATCATCCAAACTTGGACACTTATGACAGTGAAAAGATACCTATTAATCATTATGCCAAACCACAGGCATAAACCAGATTAGGTGAAACAAATAAGACATGATCACTCCAGGAGCAAATCTCAATAATTACAAGTATATAAACCCTTCTCCTCAAGAGCAACCTTTAAAAAAAAAAAAAAATGTGTGCAGTCCTCACTATTGACAATAGCAAAGACTTGGAACCAACCCAAATGCCCAATGATAGGCTGGGTAAAAAAAATATGGCACATATACACCATGGAATACTATGCAGCCATAAAAAAGGATGAGTTCATGTCCTTTGCAGGGAAATGGATGAAGCTGGAAACCATCATTCTCAGCAAACTAACACAAGAACAGAAAACCAAACACCACATGTTCTCACTCATAAGTGAGAGCTGAACAATGAGAACAAATGGACACAGGGAGGGGAACATGACACACCAGTGCCTGTCAGTGGGTGGGGGGCTAGGGGAGGGATAGCATTAGGAGAAATACCTAATGTAGATGACGGGTTGATGGGTGCAGCAAACCACCATGGCATGTGTATACCTATGTAACAAACCTGCACATTCTGCACGTGTATCCCAGAACTTAAAGTATAACTTAAAAAAAAAAAAAAATTGTGTGCGGCAACAGGGTAAAGCAAAAATAAAAAGCAGGTAAGCTGTAAGTCTGCCTTTCTTCATGGTCCAGGACACATAGTCCTCCTGCACAAATAACTCACAATCTTCATGTGCCCAGCTATCACCAGACCCTCCCCTGATAGCTCACTGCAACCTAGGTGTTATCAGTACTGCACAAAGCTCTCTTCGGCACACAGCACAAGCACCATCCTTTAAGATCCCCAGCAAGCCTTTGCTACTTGCAGTCAGCTCCTCTTCTGCTGACTTGTCAATAGCTTTCTTGCAATGTATTTTCATACTTTCTCTAATAAATCTGCCTTTCTTTACCTCAAATGTCTTGGTAAATTATTTTTACCACCACGCAACACCAGCCCCAGACAATCACCACCCATGGCAAAATATACTCAGTACTCCCATGTACAATACCACACTGTTTGCGTATAAAGATAGACTGGACACGGATCACACTCCAATATGTTTAAGGTACTATAGAGTGTACTTATCTGTTCTCATGCTGCTAATAGAGACATTCCCAAGACTGGGTGATTTATAAAGGAAAAGAAGTTTAATGAACTCACAGCTCCACATGGCTGAAGAAGCCTCACAATCATGGCAGAAGGTGAAAGAGGGTCAAAGGCACGTCTTACATGGCAGGAAGCAAGAGAGCCTGTGCAGGAGAACTGCCCTTTATAAAACCATCAGATCTCATGAGACTTCTTCACTATCAAAAGAACAGCATGGGAAAAACCCACCCCAAGATTCAATTACCTCCCACCAGGTCCCTCTCCCACGACACATGGGGATTATGGGAGCTACAATTCAAGATGAAATTTGGATGGGGACAGAGCTAAACCATATCACAGGGTAAGATATAGAAGAGGAATAATAATAAAAATGATAAAAAGAAAAAATAAGTGTGTGTTTGGCAGGGATGGGGAAATACATAGATCAAAGAGATATTATAATACTCAGCAATGGTTAAGGGTGTGCTAACCAGAACCTAACTGCTTGAGTTTACACTGGCTCCACTCCTTAGGTGCACTGAACAAGTTATTTCCATCTCTGTGCCTCCTTTCCTCATCTGTAAGATGGGAATAATACTGCTTCATAGGGCATATATAACTTAGAACGGTAGCTGGTACACATTAAGTTTCACTAAGTATTAGCATTATTTTTCTATAGCAGAAGAATTCACTTCAGCTGAGACCAGAGAAGGGTTCATATTTCGAAAAGGTAGCATCTAAGATAGACCCAGACGGATGGTAGATCATAGAAACTTGAAGATATTGGAAAAGGCAATTACATAGAGAATACATAGAACTGAATGGCAGAAAATACAGCGAACATAAGGAAGTGGTATACAGTTCTCTTTTCTTGAACTGTGCTGTCCAAAAGACTAGATGCTAGCTAAATATGGCTATTGAGCACTTGATATGTGGCTAGTCCAAACTAAGATGTGGTATAAGTATAAATACACACCGAATTTTGAAAATTTAGTATGAAAAAAAAACCACTATAAAATATTGTTAATTTTTTTTATTATATACTGAAATGGCAATATTTTAGATGTGTTAGGGTAAATAAAATAATTAAATTTTACCTTTTTCTTCATTAAAAAATTAGTCCTAGAAAATTATAAATTACATACAAACATGGCTTACATTTAAGGCTCGCATTATATTTTTATTGGACAGCACTTGGTTAGAATACAGTAGCTCCCCTTTACCCATCTGTGGTTTCATTTTCCAAGGTTTCAGTTACTAACAGTTAATCTCAGTCAGAAAATATTAAATGAAAAATTCCAGAAATAAACAATTTATAAGTTTTAAACTACGTGCCATTTAAAGTAGTGTGATGAAATCTCACACTATCCCACTCTGTCCTTTCTTCAGCACAAGAGAGTAGTACATTACAATAAGATATTTTGAGAGAAACAGACCACATTCACATAACTTTTATTACAGTATATTGTTGTAATTGTTCTATTTTATTAGTTGTTATCTCTATCTTTTTTTTTTTTTAGACAGGGTCTCAGTCCATCACCCAGGCTGGAGTGCAGTGGCATCATCACAGCTCACTGTAGCCTCAACCTCTGGGGCTCAAGCAATCCTCCTGCCTCTACCTCCCGAGTAGCTGGGACTATAGGTGCACACCACCACACCTGACTAATTTCCGCATTTTTTGTAGAGACGAGGTTTTGCCATGTTGCTCAGGCTAGTCTTAAACTCCTGGGCTCAAGCAATCCACCCAGCTCAGCCTCCCAAAGTGTTGGGATTACAGGCATGAGCCAGCATGTCCAGCCTGCTTATCTCTTATTGTGCCTAATTTATAAATTAAATTTTATTACGGGTAGTTATGAAAAAACATAGCATACATAGAGTTTGGTACTATATGTGGTGTTCAGACAACCACTGGGGATTTTGGAATGTATTGCTGTACAGGACACATAAGTAAATACATAGGAGATAAAGTTGGAGAAAATGTCAGATTATAAGCGGTTCTGCATTGCAAGTTAAAGCATTCGGGCTTTATTCTGTGGACAATTAAAAGATTTAGAAGAGTCATATGATTAGATTAGGAAAATTAGCTTTGTTGTATTGAGTTAAAAGGACTGAAAGAGAAACAAGGCAGAAAGGCCAGTAAGGAGGTTGTTGCAATTCTCTAAACAAGAACAAGGACCTGAACTGTGGTAGTAACAACAGAAATAGTAAACAGGAGTCAGACTGGAGAGCTGTTATAGAAAAGGATCAGCAAAAATAATAATAATAATTAAAATCATCATTGAAATGAATACGAGAGTACAAAAGAAATAACAACTATGATGTCCAAATTCCCAGCCTAGGGAGCAGAAAGATATGAAACTATCAAGAAAAATACATCCCACAGAGGAAGAAATATATTTAGAAGGGAAAAACCATGAGTTCAGTTCTTTACAACAATGACAATAAAGTTATTACGAAATCAAATACATTTAGAAGGGAAAAACCATGAGTTCAGTTCTTTACAACAATGACAATAAAGTTATTATGAAATCATAGCAAGTGCAAGACACTCATTCAACTAACACTATTTACTGAGCACATACTATGTGACAGAGTTCTAGCAGTGAAACAATTAAAAATTCCTGCCTTCCTTAAACCTACATTCTAGTAGAGAGATAACAAAATAAAACAGTAGAATAGTGAACCGGAGGGTCACAATAAGAACCTTGTCTTTATTTATTTAGAGTGAAATGGAAAGCCACTACTTTTAAGGAAAGGAGAGATCTGACCCTACCTTATATTTTAACAGACTAACTCTAGTAGCCTGGCTGGAAAAAAAGACCAAATGGAGGCTGTGACAAGCATTGAGAGACAGTTAGGAAGTGAATGCAATTATCCACATCAGTGATGATGGTGACTGAGGAAGACGGTAGCAGCAGAGGAGGTAGTGAGATGTTGTCAAAATCAAGATATATTTTGAAGGTGGAACCTAGAGGATTTACTGAAATAACAAATGTGGAGTGTAAGAGAAAGGAAGGAATCAAAGATGATTTCAAGTTTCTGACCTGAGTCAAAATAATTGAGCTGCCATTAATTGAGATGAGCAAGCCTGAGAGAAGAGCAGGTTTTAGGCAGAATATCAGGAATCCCATTTCGGACACGTTAAGTTTGGGCTGCCTGTCTGACATATACAAGTGGAAATGCCCACTAAGCAATTAAATATTCAAGACTTTCATAAAGGAAGAAGTCAGTGCTTTACATGGAAATCTGTTACCAGTGTAGAGGTGGTATTTAAAACTGTTCTCTATTTGGATTTGCTCTCTCAGTGACTGAGTACAGGTGGAAAAGAAAAGGTCCAAGAGCTAAATTCTGAGTAGGTCAAATTTTAAAAGTGGGCACAAGAGAAATAACCAGAAAAAGAGAAAGCCAAAGAGTAGGGGGGGAAACATCAGGAGACTGGGGGAGTCCTGAAGCCCAGTAAAGAAAGCGCATAATGGAGAAAGTGTCAAATGTGTCAAAAAACGCTGCTATTAGGTCAATGAAGGTGAGAAAGATGAGCTGACCATTGGATTTGGCAGCACGGAGATAACTGGGGAACTTGAAAAACGCCAAGGGTGACTGAGTGCATTCAAGGTGAATAAAAAAGAAATTGGAGAAAATAGAGATAACTCTTTTGAGTTATCTGTAAAGAGAAGCAGAGAAATGGTGCGATTATAGAAGGGAGAAGGATAAAAAAATTTTGTGGGTTTTTTTGATGAAAACATTCGTGAATACAAATGGAAAAGACCTACAGAAGGAAAAGCGGGCAGTACCTTCAGTAAGCTTAAATATATGTAATCCAACTCACCTAAGCATAAACGGTGAGGCGGGGAGAAAAGATGGAAAATGGAGATATAAATTTGAGATGGCGCTGACAGAAGCACGTACAAGTGAAGCCACGAAAATGTCAAGGAAAAAGTCAACAAGAAAACTGGCTTAATAAAGGGGTCATGGCAGAAATAAATAAATAAAAATGCGACATCGGATCAACGAAGTAGGTGGACAGCGCCCGTAACTCAAGAGCTCACGCGGGTTGTAATTAAGGGCTTGAAATATCAGTATCCCGTTAACCCTGCAATAAGCAAAGTGACAGGAATTTAGTCTTCTTTGGGAATTCAGGAATGAAGAAAGAAAAAAGGTACATACCTCGTGTGGAGTACTGCACACAGCCAATCCCACAAGGCCAGTGGTCTGTTCAAAAACAAAACACGATTCATGCTGTTTACTACGGTTTCCATACGTCCAGCACGCTAAGGAAATACAAAACCACGAATCCCCCGGCTAAAACTGGTCTAAAGCCAACTACTGGTCTCTCAGTCCCGCTTGTTTGGAGCTTTTTTTCTGACTCTCCGAGCGGAACCACTAACCGGCCCTACCAGGTAGGGCATGCAGAACGAGTCCCCGAAAAGCACCGCCGAACCCGCGACAGTTAGGGTCAACACCCGCGGGAATTAGGGCTATCGGACTGAGTCTACCCCAACAGTCTAAATTCCAACAGTGACCTCCATTCGTCTCACCTTCTTCAGCACACCCGCCATGACAGCTCCGACGAGTCGATGACGCACAGCCCTTTGGGAACAATTCTCAGACCTGCTCAATCGACCACCGAGGTCGCCACTCTGTCACCCTGGAAACAGCTTAGCTCCACCCCCTCAGGATCTCCAAAGGAGCAAAGACTCTGCCCCGCCCATCCTAAAAGCGAAAAATTGACGCGTGCGTGATGGGCATGCAAGCCTAAAGCTAAGGCAGAATACGATTGGGGAAAGAAGGGGTTTCTCAGGTGTGTCTGCTCCTGTTCCTGCCACTGCTGACGGCTTGCCCCAAGATTGAGGGAAACATTCCCAACTACCAAAAAACTCCAGTCGCTGTAGGAACCTGCACTCTGCTTAACTGTTGATGCATTCCTCAACTTTCCTCTCTCAGTTTAGTAAAATGAAGGTGATAACGGAGCTTGAGCATCCTCTGAACTGACCTCTCAGCAGCAAGTTAGTTCTTCGCACAAGGATATCAGTAATCTGTGTCTTACGAACCGAAGCCATATGGAGTGTGTGGTCATTTTCCATCACTCTTTTCGATTTCACTGGCTGAAGTACATCA